GGTATTCTGGGGGGTGGCGTGTGGGTGGGTTCAGGTTGGTGATTTGGGAAGGCAGAGCCACTGGATGCCCGTGGTGGACAGGGAGTTGGGTGAGCATGGGGAAACAGGGACAAGGAGCAATGCATGGAAGGGTGGGAGAACTGACGGAGGGAGGAGAGAAGGAATCTAGGACCAGTGTGGAGATTGGGATTGGCTAGGCAAGGAGACTGGGATTTAAGAAGCAGTGAGGTTGGGGGGAAGAAGTTAGGTGGGGAGAGGAGACTGATCCGATAATGAGCTGAGGTGCAGGGGAAGAATTGAAATTGGCTGGAGATAGAAACTGGGACAGAGAGCTATGGGATGGTGAAGCCAGAATACTGAGATTGGATGAAGAGCCCAATAATGAAGATGGGTATTAGGAGTCACTGGGAGCAAAGAAAGTAGGTGAGAGGGGCAGGCAAATACCTGAGACATACTTGCTACCTAAATGTTCCATTTCCCCAGAATGATTGTTCTTCATGAAAGATTCTCTTATCCTGCTATCAGTTATTCAAGAACATAACCAGGGATCGACAAACAATACAATCTACTCGCCCGTGGCGAGTAGATTTCAGCCGCACGCCCCGTTCATTTGCAATGCGCAATGCAGCTCTTGCACATGTGCAGTACGGGGCTGGCGAGCAGTTTTCACTGCTGTTCGTCAAGCCCTGAACATAACAATGGCCATACTGGGTCAGACCAAAGGTCGGTCTAGCCCAGTATCTTTTCTTCTGACTAGCTAGTGCCAGGTGCCCCAAAGGGAGTGAACAGAACAGGTAATTATCAAGTGATCCATCCCCCATCACTCATTCCCAGCTTCTGGCAAACAGAGGCTAGGGACCCCACACTTGCTCATTCTGACTAATAGTCACTGATGGACCTATCCTCCATGAATTTATCTAGTTCTTTTTTCAACCTTGTTATGTTCTTGATCTTTGCAACATCCTCTGACAAAGAATTCCATGTATTGACTGAGTTGTGTGAAGAAGTACTTGCATTGATTTGTGTTAAGCCTGCTCCCTATTTCATTTTATGACCCCTAGTTATTATGTTATGACAAAACATAAATGACACTTCCTTGTCAATTTTCTTTATCCAAGTCATGATTTTATTAACCTATTTTATATCCCCCTTTCGTCATCTTTTTCAAGATGAAAAGTCCCACTGTTCTTAATCTCTCCTCCTATAGCAGCATACCCCTAAACATTTTGTTGCCCTTTTCTGAACCTTTTCCAATTCCAAAATGTCTATAGAGGTGAGCCTGCCTGAGGTTCATGGTGAATCTTCAACTTTTCCAATGCACGACTCACTAGTGCTCCCCAAGTCTTTTAAAAAAGAAAATCTGAGGTAGCAGTTCGCCTTTGATGGCAAGGAGTCCTCATCTATTCTAGTGGTTAACGGCAGTGCGATCCACAAAGGAAACTCGGGAATCAACATTAGCCCCTTCTATTCCTCTCGTTTCTCAGGGTGAGTACTGAATATTGAAAAATAGACTTGGCACCCTGCAAGGTCTTTGGAGTTCATCAGAGCACACATCAAAGCGACTTCTATATGTGCATACCTGCCCACCTTATCTGCGACGCCACCGGAAGACCCAGCCCACCACCCCACCTTTCCCGGATGCCTTATCCTGTCTACCTTCAGCCTGGCACCTGCTGCAGCCCAAGATGGGTGCCGGGCAGCTCCAGGGCTGGTGGGATTTGAACCCACCACCAGTCTACTGGTCCAAATTGCTTCAGTGACATTCATCCGCAGTCTCGGCCAGAGCTGTCCTTGACTTCCTTGGCTACACAGCAATGTATATTTGTCACAGCATTTGTTTGCCTGTGCTTCTGCTTTCTACAATTATGGCTGCAACCGGCCCGTATACACCATTCCCACCATGTCACCAGAGGTCATCACTTTCCTTTGATGGTGGACAGACCTGCGTTAAGTCTGTTCTAGAATGCTTTTCCTCCCATCCTTATCAAGCATGGCAAACCTGATATACTCCTTGCTTGATGACTGGGAGCATTCATGGAAGATTGTGTGATAGAAGGAACTTGAATCACTTGAGAAGCAAGAATGCACATCAGTGTTCTGGAACTTTGGGCAATACTCAAGACATGCTGTGTGTTTTTGCTGTTGATCTATTCTTGTCATGTTCTCCATGTCAGACTACACTGCTATGGTGTTTTACATAAACAGGCAAGGAGGCATAGATTCTCCATTGCTGTGCATGTACCTCTCAAAATGATAGATTGTATACATTGTACCCAGGCTTCTCGGTTAATCATTTAAATGACTGTACGCTAACATCCCTAATAGGCTGGAAACCAAATAATAAGAGCAGTTGCCAGACACCAAGATACCCCCTGCTTACAACCAGAATAACTGCTGGAAACATGTAAGACTGTACAGGGGGCGGGATCGTGCCCAAGCTGGGATGCGGCCTAGTTGGTGAGAGAACATAATTAAAGCTACTGTTAGGGTAAGAAATTGCATGCAACAAGTTTCTAAGGGTATGTCTGCACTTGCACCCTCTTTTGAGAGAGGGATGAAAATGCAGACAAGCGAAATTGCAAATGAAGCGCGGATTTGAATTTCTTGTGCTTCATTTGCATAATCGTGGACCGCCACTATTTTGAAATATTCTATTTTGAACACTGTGTAGATGTGGTTATTTCAGGAGAAAACCCTTCTTCTGAAATAGTCCTTATTCCTCATACAACAAGGTTTACTGATTATTTCAGAAGAAGGTTTTCTCCCGAAATAACCACGCCTGCACAGTGTTTGTTATTTCGAAACAGGATGTTTCAAAATAGCGGCAGTCTGCGATTATGCAAATGAAGATTCCTGTTGGATGTGTGTTGAAAATTCTGTAGATTCCTGTTGGGTGTGTGTTGAAAATGGTGTCAGGAAAAAAGTTGCATGGCATGCTCAGAGTTTTCTGTTAGTTGTATTTCCATTATGGACCCTTTTTCTTTAAATATTAAATGCACTTTGAGAATGAAAATCAAGGCAGGCTTGTGGTCTTTGAAACAAATCATTCCTGAACTTTGTGATTTTTTTTAAAATGCATCTTTGTTTCAAAATACCATTTTTTTCACTACAGGTTGAAACTCTCTCAACTGGGACTCTCTGATCCAGCAACATCTGTGGTCCAGTAGGACCACAGATTTTGCTGGACCAGAGAGACCCAGTGAAGGGACAGAGGCAGGAACCCTGTGGGGACCGGGAACCCAGCCAGGCTGGTTGCAGGATGGCCAATGGGCTGAGAGCCCTGCCATGGGAGTCTGGCTGAGCACGTGACAGAGAGATCGGAATGCTGGTGGGCTCCAGTGGGGCAGCGATCTGCCGCAGTGGAGCCAGGAGCCCCAGTGGCAGGGGCCCCACCAGTCGAGACTGTTGGGGCCAGGAGTTCTGGCAGTGGGGACGGTGCTGCTCTGGTAGAGCTAGCGTGGTTGGGAACCCCAGTGGTTGAGCAGCACTCTGTGGCAGGGGGTCAGGGTGAGAGTCCATGCAGCGGGATTGTGGGCTGCCAGGGTTGGTGCTGCCGTGGCTAGGCTGGCGGGGTCAGGAGCACTGGTGGCAGGGCAGTGGTTTGCTGTGGTGAAGCTGAGAGTCCCAGTAGCTGGGACTGTAGGCTGCTGTGTCAGGGCAGCAGGGCTGGTTGTATGTAGGGAGTCCACTGGGAGGTCAGGCAAGAAGCAGAGCTGGACTGGGGCTGGGTGGAGGTGGGGCAAAAATGACCTCCCTTGGTTTGGCAAAATCCATCTTCTGAGACCACTGATGTCCCGAGGGTGCCAGATTATGGGGTCCAACCTGTATTACCTACTCAAATGGCTCCCTAATGTCAGAGATTATTTAGGGGGGGGAAACCACATTCAATCAAAGAACCAGCATAGAAATTTTAAATCCAGAAGTTTTGTTGAATTGAAATGTTCATATTTAGAATCAAATATGGTTATTATTTCAGTAGTCACCAGTGCAGCCTTTGCATTTCTAAAGTCACTTAGGATTAGGGATGTAAAGGACTAGTTGACTATCTGATAAACAACTGCTTATCAAATAGTTAACAGGCTAGTCAGTGAGTCACTTTCCAACCCCCCCCCCCCCCCCTCTATCAGAAGGAGGCAGCAAGAGGTTGGGGTGGGGAAGGGAGAGGAGAGGGTACTTCAAAGTGGCAGCGCCATGTGGAGCCTCTGCCGGATGCTGGGCTCCATGCATTACTGCCACTTTGAAAGGTTGCGTGCAGCCCGGGACTAACTGGGGTGTCCCTGGTCTGCACGAGGAGTTTCAAAGCGTCAGCAATGCGTGGAGCCCGGGATCAGCTGGGGACTCCTCCACTGACCCTGGGCTCTGTGCAGTGCTGCCATTTTGAAATGCTGTGGGAAGCCCGGCATCAGGCTCCTCGTGGCATTTCAAAGCAGCAGCACCACTCGGAGCCCAGCGTTGGCAGGGGAGTCCCCAGCTGATCCTGGGCTCCATGGAATGCTTCTGCTTTGAGATGCCACGAGGAGCCTGATGCCGGGCTTCCCACAGCATTTCAAAATGGCAGCACTGCACAGAGCCTGAGGCCAGTGAAGGAATCCCCAGCTGATCCCGGGCTCTACACAGCGCTTCTGCCTTTGAAGTGTGAACCCTAGGGCTGTTGCTACACTTCAAGGGAGAAGGTTCCCTGTCAACTAATCGAATAGTCAATGCAAAATGCATTGACTATTCGATTAGTAAATTACTCACAATTTAACATCCCTACTTAGGCATTAACTATCCTATTACACCTGATTGCGTGTAGGGCAGCAATGAGGGTTCTCCATATTCCATTAGGATACATGTTGTTTAATTAAGAATGAAGTCGGTTAGCTTAGAATTGTGAGAACTAATTCTTCCATTAATAAAAATCAATACTTGTATTAATTAACAACAGTTACTTTTCCATTTTAAGAAAACACTTTTAAGTTAATTAACATTTTTGTTTGTGTGGAAATACTGTTTTGCAGACTCCAGGCTTGAGAGCTCGTCCTGGAAGGTTGCAGTGGTTTGCTGAGAAGTGTATTGCGAATAACCAGGTACATCTGTTGCATCATGTCTCATCTATTTGTGATTAATACGTCTATGGTAATACCAAGTATTTTATGCATATCACAGTTTACGTAAACAGAATGGTAATTATGTAAATTGATACTTAATATTTAGTGAAAAACTATATATAGTCTTATAATATTTACATTCCCAAACTTTTGGAGTGAATGTGTGTATTTACATATCCGTGAACTACACTTGTGATTATACATATGAAAATTAGATGAGCCATAGTATGATATAGATATTGTGTGTGTGTATATGAATGACTTTTTTTCTTTCTTCCTCCCCTCCCCCAAAGATGGACATTTTAGAAAATATGGTGGAAATGACTGAAAAACTATTTGAGTGTGATAGAGATCAGATGTACTACTACATCCTACAGTTATGCAGTAAGTTAACCAAAAATATTTTTTGCTCTATTATAGATTATTTTTGGGAATTTTAATTTTTAATAGTATTTGAAAAAAAGTGAACTGTGTTATGGGATCAGATTGTTTTTTACCTTGTTTTGAATTTTTCAGGTAACCAATTAAAATTGTATTTCTCAGTAGAGCCATCTTTAGTGTTGATAGTAATGATGTATAGCACAGCTCTTGATGGGAGTTTTCTGACTTGGGTATGCTTTGCTCACTACCAACTCTGTGTAGGCTACTAAGACAAACATTGCACTTTTGCCATCACTTCCTTTTCTGCAATTCAGAAACTTCCTTTGGTGGTGAACCTGATCTTTTGTCACAGATCATTGAGACATTTTTCCTAGCTTGTGAGGTGGTCAGAAAAGTGACCTTTGGCTCTTCTGTGACAGAACCATTTGCTTTGTTGGATCTCCTTATTTATCCATAGGAAATACTAATGTTGCCATGTTTCAGAATCTCTGTTTATACTTCATTTGTCTGATATTGCATCCAGAGATAGACAAAGATAGAACCCATAAAAGTTAGCTTGTTGGCTTTTAAATTTTTCAGTTTACTTGATTTTAAAAAATAGGATAAAGCATTTAAGAAGTGGCTTAGGTTTTATTTGTCATAGTTTCCATGTATTTGTAACATATGCCAACATTTTACCAAAAACTCATTAGTTGCTATGACCATGATTTGTGCTTTTGGATGAATGTTTTGATTTGGGAAGCCTTTTCGGATGGGGGGAATGGTTTAAAATATAGAATTATTTATAACAACGAAGTGTCTGGTGGCACTTAAAGGCTAACATATTTATTAGGGTATTAAAGCATAAGCTTTTGTGAGCTTCAACTCACTTCCTCAGATGCTGAAGAGAGAGAGAAAGAAGAGGGTGGGGGGAAAGGATACAGAGATGGGAGTTTGCTTCTGATCACTTAATTTTGGTGCCACTTTCTGTAGTAGAGATTTTATTCCAGTTTTCTTTTTATTACACCTCACATCTCCAGATTGCCATTTAGAAATTGTAACTGGGGGAGATCCATTCTACTCACATAGAGCTGGTTCACTTTCTGTATGGGTGTGTTGTGGAGGGAAGATATACAGTTCACTACCGCAAGCTAGTTAGGTTTGCTGTAGAAATCTGCTTGCTGGTGGTTTTCATCCATGATCCTAATACCCCAGAAATCAGTGACCTTTTCAAACCAAAGAGCCAAACTACATCAAAATTCAAAACAAGTGGCCAACAAAGAGCCGTATAAGTGCCCATTTACATGACTGAAAAAATAGAACGTAATATTATTGATAATTGACATGTTTAATTTATGCTATTATCAATCATGTCACATGTTTTGTCATGAAATGCCATTCTAAATTGAATTTTTTTGTTTGAGGACAGTCTCTCACTACAAATGAGATAGTGTGGACATCCTGACCTATCCACAAATGCATACAAATCTGTCCACTCCTTTTGAATATTTCAGTACTTGTCATCTCTGCTTTCTCTTCACCATTTTTCCTGTTGGGGTCACAGAATAGTACACCATCACGAAAGATTTCTCAACCAATCAAATTATTGAATATGCACGACCTTCAATGAGTGGAGAGTATGGATGGTTGTTAAAAGGTACAGCTTTAAAGGGAGGTGTGAAAGGAACTTAAATTTCTTACAGGACAGTACCTAACACAACCTACCCCCTTGCGGTCATATAGCGGGAAGAGAGGGAAATGTGTGATATAATAGTGAAAGTTACGTGTGAGGGAGGAGTGTGTGTGGGGCAGAGGGCTCAGGGCAAAGGGTTGGATTGTGGGGGTGCTAGTTCACGCACTTAGGTACTTGAGAGTTTTATCTGCCAAAGTTTGGACTCCAGGTACCTGCAAGGGTAGATGGGAAAATGGGATTTTGAAGGTTTGTAGTATCCTAATCTTTCTTTAGTTTCTGAGGTTGGCATTTCACATGTTATGTGAAGTTCTGAGCCAGTTTTCAGGATATAGGGCATTCAGCAGGCCATCCCAGAATCTTTCATAAACTTCCTGAGTGCATGTTTCCTGTACCTGCACACTTGCTGTACACACGGTCATTGTGATTTCCTTTAATAAAGGCAGTTTATGACTATGAAGGACTTCTCTGTCCATATTAAAAATATATAGGAATGCTTTTTTTCATCAGCAACTAGAGGATACATGTGTAGTTTTAATATTTGATGGTCCATTAATCCAGTCAATTTGATGATAGAAAAAAATATTTGCAAACCCGTATTCTTGCTACAACTAGTTATAAAACGTAGTAGGGATGTGAACCACTAGTTGACTATCCGATAAGCAAATGCTTATCGATCAGGGAGAGGTGGGGATGCTACAAAGCAGCAGTGCCGCATGGAGCCCAGGGTCTGCCGCTTTGAAACTTCATGTGGTGCCTGAAGCCAGGCTCCCCACAACATTTCAAAGCAGCAGCGTCACATGGAGCATGAGGTCAGCTGGGGACTCAGAGTCCCCTGCTGACCCCAAGCTCCATGCTGCACTGACACTTTGAAATGCCGTGGGGAGCACTGGGCCAGCTAAGGGGACTGCTTTAGTCTCCTGCTGGCCCTGTGATCCCTGCAGCGCTTTTGCTTTTTAAGTGTAGCAACAGCCCTGGAGGGCTGTTGCTACACTTCAAAGGCGGAGGCGCCCTTATCAACTCATCGAATAGTCGATGCAAATTGCATCAACTATTCGATTAGCCAGTTAATCTAAATTTAACATCCCTAAAATGTAGCGCATATAATTTCTTAATTTATCCTGAAATAACAGATTTTCAGGAATGACTGATCTTTTAACATGGATTTTATTATTTAATGCAGGAAAGATTATCAATGCCAGAAATTATGCCACATATTTCCAAAAATGCTGCTCGTTCTGGTTATCTGGAAGCTTTGGATACTTGTATTTTACGTTCTAGAGATTAGATACTGAACAGTGTGTTTGTGTATTACAGAGCTGATAAAAAATATTTGTCACACACAAATTGTGCAAGGGAAAAGCTTGAACTAGTGGGTGTTCACTCTACGCCTCCCCCCAAAGAATGTAAACTACATCTTAGGTCCATATGGTAAGGAAAACTTAGCCCAGAGCAATCCACTGACTTGAACATGCAAGCATCTGAGAAGATACCCACAAAATATCCTTTCTTTAGTAGAATTAGAGTTGGTGAGTTATTTCTCTAATTAAGTAGTGCTCTTTCTAGCTACTATTAGAAAACCACCTTCTGACATTATGTAGCAAGAAAGTAGGATGTTTCCTATCCTGATTAAACTTCTGGCAAGCAAAAGATATGAATAATGCAACAGAAAAATGTTAAAAGCTTATTGTACATATTTCCTCCATTCCTTTAATACCTTTCATTTTCTCAGCAGCTTCAAAAAGCTTCAAAACCAATCTATATCTGTATCTCCATTCTAGCTTTATAAATGCTGGTTCACCATAATAAAGCAACTGGTCTTAAAAAATAATCTTGCTTCAAGAGGAGGTAGTTCTCCTACATCTCAACAAGCAAACTGTCCCCCTCCAACAGTTACTCAGTCTGACAGAATATCTGCTGAGAGGAGAAATCTTAACAGATATAATTTATCAAACTCTGTCACACAAATTCTTCAGTCAGCAAGAAATGGCGCAACAAATTCCATCTACTCAAATAAATGGAAAAGGTTTGCAGCTTTCTGTCACCATAGAAGACAAAAACCATGCACTTGTCTGCTTTCAACAATTTAAGACCAGGTATCAGAACTGTTCCACACAGGAGTATGATTGAGAGTTCTCATAGAATACCTAAGCCGTAATTATGTATCTGCTTTCAATTTTAAGTACATCTAAATTAGTAGCCCTCAATTTTATCTAAACTGGGTATAAAAAAAATCTTTTAATTATGTAGAAATAACAATTGACAAAACTGTTGAAAGCAGATTTCTTAAACCTCTATCTTAAATCTGAAATAATCTAGCCCATATATGTATTATCAGTTTTTGATCTTTTTAAACTTTAGGAAACGGTTGCAAACTTAAGTAAAGATTTCTTGTGCTGCATAGTTCCTTTGTAATGGAATCAGTCATTAAAAGCTAGTATCACTTTTTTAATATAGTTTATTATCATTGCAGAAGTTTGAGAATGCTCTACTAGCTGACATTTTCATTCTGATTGTGAACCATGGTTTGCACTTCTGAATCATTTTTGGAGCCTGAAGAGTGTATCCCTAATTTAGGTTGGGAGAGAGTTTCCTTTTATAAACTCAATTTGATCCCCTCTGACTTTCTGGAAAAAAGAAAATGTACATTCTACCTGAAATTTACCTTCTTTGTTCTCTAACCAAAGAAAATGTTGAGAGTACATTTTGTGAATAAAGAGAATATACCTGCTTGCTGACTTACAGCAGGGTATCTTCTCCCCTCTGATCAGAAGGGAACCCTATGAAGAAGACCAGAGGCAAACTAGCACATGGAGAGCAGTGAATTGGCTAACCCCAGCAAATTCAACCATATTTGTATTATGTGCTACGTGTGGCCCTATTGGGGTACACCATCTCACATCTCCAAGAGCCAGTCCTAGTACCACTAATCTAGGAAGAACATAGTAAAAACAGCCATGCTGAGTCAGACCAGAGGTCCATCTAGCCCAGTATCCTGTCTTCCAACAGTAGCCAATGCCAGATGCTCCATAAGGAGTGAACAGAGCAGGTAATAATCAAGTGTCCCTCTCCTGTCATCCCTTTCCAGCCTCTGACAAACCGAGGCTAGGGACACCATTCCTACCCATCCTGGCTAATAAGTATTGATGGACCTATCCTCCATGAATTTATCTAGCTCATTTTTTAACCCTGTTAGTCCTGATCTTTACAAAATCCTCTGGCAAGCTGTTCCACAGGTTGTGTGCTGCATGAAGAGATACTTCCTTTTGTTTGTTTTGGTTTTTTTAAACCTGATACCTATTAGTTTCATTTGGTGACCCCTAGTTCTTACATT